AAAGAGAGGGCACTGACTTCTAGAATCAGGAAGTTTTCACAATACTCTCACAAAAGTGGTTCAGTAACTTAATCAGTTATAAAAGGAAGTAGAGTCCATGGGCACGCAGCTCTGAGAGACCTGGAGAAATCTGAGTTCTCGAGGTCATTCATCCTGATATGAAGCACTGAAGCACATTTGAAATTCTGGGATGTTGTTCTTCTATACTGCTGGTGCTACAAACCAGACTACCGCTTCACATTCTAAAACTTCAGAATCCAGCCCACTGCACAGCTAGTCAGACAGGCCTGCCTAGATTCCAATGGCAGGATTACTGCGAAGTCTCACCGAAAAAGCTAAGCCTAACCTCATATGCCTGCAGACTAAAGGAACATCCCCAAGAGTTATTTAAGATAATTGTCTCTAAGATGACACCTAGCAGTGCATACTGAGTACTGAAGCAGAGTCATCATTCCTGGAAAAGCCTCTAAGGCAGTGGTTCCAAAAGAGGGACTGAAAGAAACGTAAAGTGCTGTTTGAGGTGAGGGTAAGGGCAGACAGTGAAAGCGTCGGTTCCAGAAGGTTCTCATGTGACTGCTGTACACCTGCTTCTAACTGAGAAACATGGCTTTAGATGCTGTTCACCTGTAATTGGCTCTCAAACACTAGAATCATCTGCCGCAGCAGATATCCAGATGTGGTCCCCAGACGAGCAGCAACAGCATCACATGAGGACTTGTTAAAAAGGCAAATTCTGCGGCTCCACTCAGAACGACAGAATCAGAAACTGGGGATGGAGTCTGAAACCTGTGTTTTAACAAGTTCCTCAGATGGTTATGACGCACACTGAAGTCAGAGAGCCACCGCGCTAGTAGGCAACCAAATGGGCTCTAAAGGTTAGTGAAGGAAATTGTTACTTTTAAAATACCCAGCAGACTCAGAGCAAGGAAGTTCCCCTCATAATTAAATTTCACCTGGCGCATGTCCTACACTGCTACCTAGCTAAATTATTTTTTTAATCTGTTTTTCCCCTTTCACTTTTATTTATAAATGATGACCTTTTCAATAGCTCCTTGGCTGATGGTTTGTGTGGGCAGCATCAGAGTAGCATCTCCCGAGTGGACACCTGCATCTTCCACGTGTTCAGAGATGGCATGGGAGATAACCTGGTCAAAAGAAGATTTTAGAAATAGTTGTCAGTGTAAACGAAAAATACTGCAAACAGTATCAGTAAACAAAGAATGCTGAAACCATCAAGTCATCAGCGGCTGCCACCCCCCTCCATTGAAGACTAGCCTGCAGCCCAGCCTCTGTGGCCACTCACAATGGTGCACCCTGAGGGGACTCAGAATAATAAAGGACAAGATAGCCCTAGATAGCTAGATGCTTGTCAAAGGAATGAATCCAATGAGCCCAAATGTTTGCTCCCTCCCATACACAGAAAAGCACTAAATTCTTTAACTTGAGATGCCTGGTTTTCTTTAGATAACAAGTAATCTTTCATTGTTCCAACTACCTGGTCTTTGTTGTAAAGCTCCTATATATCCTAGCTCCTCCCCTACCTCTTGGGAGAAGCCCCCCAGAGCGATCTGAGAGGCTGTCATCCCGGCTCGAGTCCTCCCACCAAATAAAACATAACTCTCAACTTCTAGGCTGCCCATTTATTTCAGTCGACATCAGGGGCTTACTTCAGTGAAGCTACTGCCTCGCGCACGCCCTTGATTCTAACAGATGCCTCCAGCATTGATCAGTTTCTCTGCTAAGTCCCTGATGAGAGGACTAGAAAGAGCTGCCATGGAGCCTCACCAAGCCCTGTGCAGTGACAGATCACCTCAAGGGGCAGCTGAGAGTGTCTGAGAGCTTACCTCCCTCTTGCATTGATTAGAATAGGTATAAATAACAGGACAAGAAGACAACTAAGTCAACTCATATTGACTTTTAAGAATGAAGAGGAAACTAAAGCATTGGGGAAGCACTGAAGATATCTTTATCTTTCCTTTCTAGGTTAAGTTTTAGGCTCTGGAAAAGAAAAGATGGAGAGGTGAATATTTAGCTAGATAAATGTTATAACTGAGGTGGATCAGAAAGAGAACTTAAGCTCAAAAGATCAAGAGATCTTTAAATTGAAATTTGAGAGCAGAGGGAAGCAAGAGGAAGATATCCTTGTCCTCTTTTAGAGATAAGAAAACCAAGGCAATATAGAAATAAATAGCCCAAGTACATGTGCCTACTATGTGACCAGGCCAGGGTTTTGAACCCTTACCTGCCAGATTGCAAAGTTTATGGCCTCAATCACTATAACCAGAAGGTTAATAGTATGTGTGTCTTTCGGAAGTGATACAGCTGAGATGGGGGAGAATAATTGGGTGACTGTAAAAGACTTAAATAAATTTCAGAGAAGACTGTTTATCAGATTTATGGATGACTTAAAGCAGAGTGACGTGTGAGTCTCAGCACACCAGCCACTTAAGAGTCCTGTGCCCTGGGCAAGGTACTTCATCTGCTTGGCCTTGGTTTCTGATAGGATAGAAATAACAATAGTATCTGCCTCAAAGAATGTCTGTAAAGATGAAAGAGAACACATATACAGTGCCCGGCATGATATTTAGTGCAGAGTAAGCACTTGGACTTTTTTATACTGTCTGGAAATGGGGAGACAACGGTCCCACTGAGCTCTGAAAAAATTATATGTCTGAAGTACTATGTCCATTTCTGAGTGTGACTGTTTGAAAATTCTGTGAATAACCTGGAACACTTCCAAGAGAAGGGGTCCAGGATGGTAAACGGTGGTTGATGCCTAAGAGATGCTTAGAGCAAGAGCACGTCCTAGCAAGCTGGAGCCAGATCAGGCCAACAGACCAGCATTACTTCACCAGCACAGTATCTGAAAAAACACAAATGTGTGTAGGCCAGCCTTACATCAATTCCACATTGGTATGATCACATTCCTTTTATTTTATATCTCAGTCTCAAATACGCAAAATGTTAAAAAAAAAAAAAAAAGAGGAAAAGATTAAGCATATGCTCTATAACTCTGGAGGCCAGGAGGTCAGGGATGAAAATTCTAGGGAAGCAGACCTTAGTTCAAGAGAAGGAATATGTGAGATGTTCAAGAAGTAAAGGCAAGGAACAAAAATAAACAAATATATACATAATCCTACAACTGTCTCTGTTCTGTATAACCAAAAGGGTTAAACAGAGAGCAAGTGACCGCTTTCCAGGGATGCTGAAGAAAATCCTCATCTTTGGGGTGTATGGGGTTGAAATACACAATTTCTAGGGGTGCTTAAACTCTACAGTATATGATTCTGTGGTAAGAAGTTGTCATTATTATATACATATACACAGACACATATACTATATATACATTTAAAAAAACTCTACTTTAAACTGTTAATCTAGAAGATAAAAACAGAAATAAATAAATACAGAATAAAACAAACAACAAGAAAAGATTTAACATTTTCAACAGAGTACAAAGTAGAAAAGGAAGGCCAACTTTTGATTTTACCTTAAAGCAAACAAAATGATGCAGACCCCCTAAAATACAACTTCCTGTCATTCAAGATAAATCATAAATGCCTTGTTAGCACAACGTGAAAACTAAAGGAAAGCATTCCTCGTGTTTTCATTTCTCCCTGAAGGCGGAGGTGTTCTTTGCGTTAGCAATACAAGATATGGTATGGTAAGCCAGTTTTATGTTATTATTACCCTTATCCACCCTCCTCTGTTTAATTTTACCTTTGTTAGCCAATAATAAATAAAAAGGGGGAGGACGAAAAATCAAGAGAGAAGAAAAAGTAGGGATTCATTTAGGAACTTCAGAAAGAAAAGCATTGGGTGTTTTTATAATATCCATTGAAACATAAAAGGAAACCCACAGACAAAAGAAAATGAGAGAGAAAATCTATTCAAAAGAATGAGCACAGGATGATAATTAATTTTGAATATCATCAAAGAGAAATTCTAGCAGTGTGAAACACAGAAGATATGATACCCTTGACACATCAACAGAATTGTCAGTGAATCTGAACATTTTTTTTGGACTGAGCAGCTTGTCCACTATTATTAGAGACCTGTTTTGTAGAAATCATGAACATTGACCTGCATTATGTTTCAAAATTGCGAGGAAAAAAAAAATTCTGATGGGAAGGCAGGGACGGGGAAGGTGGGGGGTAAGGCACTTACTTTTCCGTCTTTGCCAACAGCGTCCATTTCCACTTCCCGAGCCCCCTCAATAAATTTCGTCAGCACCACTGGGTGTTCCTGTCACCAAGGAAGACAGAGGGGCAGAACCTTTAGCTGAAACCGCATGTATAGTGTCAAATAAATCGTGTATCTTAAGTAAATACCAGGGCAATACTTGGGGGGAAAAAAACTTAATGCTAAACAAAGTACACATACTCATTAGCCAATTTGTTTCCTAAGAGCAAGGTCATTCTTTGCTTACGGTGAGGAAGAGGGTCTTTCTCCAAATTTGAGTACTCAGTGAATTGAACATGAGTGTTGAAAATTTAAATACAGACTTCTAGGTGAGTTAGAGAAAGGGGGAGGCTAAGGAGAGGGCAGAATGAGGGGCCTTTTCTGGCCAGAATGATAAACCTCTGTTTTATTTATAATTATCGATTAGTATTAGCTCAAGCTTTTTCTCTCTTCCTAGTTTTATCTTTCTCAAGCCCTTCAATCAGTCTCTATTTGAGATTGTGGAAGAACTTGGGAGAGTAGCATCTTGTTTCAGTTTTCTTAGGCCAAAGATGGAATCCTTTACCTGGAACCGACATGCCTTAAACTTCTGAAGTATGAACTTTTGCAACTGCAAAACCACTTCTCTTTTTTCATCTTAACATGTCTTCCTTTCTCAGCTACTTCAGACCCCTTATCATTCTGGAAGTTCTTCCCACAGTCGGTTCCTTCATGACACGCTGCAATGCCCTCCACAACGCGACCACTGCTTGCTTTTTCCAGACTACACAGAGCGGCTGAACGAAGACCTCCATTACTGAGGCATCGCTCCTCCTCTGTGCCCCAGGGACCGGCAACCTGCACCACTGCTGTTCTCTCACCAAACGCTGCCTCTCCCTGTCTCCATGCCTCTCCTTCCCAAATGCACTCCACCTCTCTCCTCACCCTCATCGTTTACATTTCAACCCATCCTTCAAGGCCTAGCTCCAATGCCACCTCCTCCCCGAAGCCTTCTCTGAACATCTCTTTTTCTTCTAAACACCAGCCCCTTTTCACCACTATCAGGGAGCTCATCATTCTCTGCCTATGTATTCAATGTAATATATCTCATCTCCTTTAACAGAATGCTTTAAATAGAACTGAATTTTGTGAAAAATTCAAAATAACCAGTTTTATGCCACAAATAGGCTGCTCTCTTCCTAAAATTTATTACCAAATGAGGAAAATCTCCCCACTTCCTTTTCTTCAAAAACCTATTTGATGGGCAAAAAAAAAAAAAAGTTTTTTCATCTCTGTTCCCTCTTTTAAAAATATTGGATATTTACTGTTGGCAGGCCTCGTAGAGCTGTGTTAAGACCTACGTAGGAATTTTTCTCTGTATTATGATGATAAGGATATAACTTGAAAAAAAAAGATAAAATTTATCAGCTGTCTTAGTCAACTTCTCTAGCCAAGCCTAAGGGATTTTTGTTCAAGTGATTTATCGAGGGAGTGAGAGAAGCAAGACCGGGCAGCTGGAAAGGGTTACTTCGTTCGTGGTCTCAGTGGGGACTGGATTCAGCCTAACCCCACAGGTAGCTTTGGAGCATGACTCGCAGCACAGAGAAAGTCCCATCTTGAGGCAAAGGTCAGTCACTGTCCAGGGTTTTGAGGGTGGTGATGAGGTGAGGGATCTTGCCTCGTGGTTGAGGCTCCCCTTTGACTGAGAACAGTTATCCTGAGCAGAAGTGCAGCTGGGGGGTGTTACCAGCTACCACAGCAGTTGGGGGATGGGCAATCCCACAGGTAAAGGGATCTGAATGGGGCGAGGACCGCGTCTGCCATCCTGGTCAATTGAACAAATTTATGAAATCGTCCTGACAATGTGGAGGAAGAAAATTTCTTACTAAAGTTCCCTCTTTCAGCAACATTATACTTGGTTAGCCTTCTTAAAGTATTTTCTTCCTTTGGTCCATGAACCACCTTTTCATGCCTCTTTCTTAGGCCCCTTCATGGCTCTTCTTCTCTACTCAGCCCTTAAATGCCAGTCTTCCTCTCATCTCTGTCTCAACTGCTCACTTTGTCTCTACGCCCTCTTCCTGGCAATTGCTTCCATTCTCAAAGCTTCAATTAAAATAAGCTATTGATTTCCAAATCTATATTTATATCTCCATCTTTAGCCATGATCTGGGTCTTCAATTCTAAATCTATATAATCCTTTACTTTCAAAGAATCTCTACTTAAACTCTTCACAAGCACCTCATATTTGAAAGGTCAAAAATTAAACAATATATAATTTCCCCTCTAAAACTTCTCCTTCAGTGTGCCTTGTTTCAATAAATGGTATCACTGTCCATCTAGTTGAAGGCAGAAATGCAGGAATCATCCTTTATCCTCTTTCACCCTCTGTCTCCATCCATTCACATCCTCAGTGCACGTTCTCAGTATTTCTAGAACCCATCTTTACTATCATTACTCTGATCCAAGGCACTGTCATCTCTCCCTTGAGCTACCTGATAGCCCCCTAACCTCTTTCCATGAATTCAGTCTTGTCCCAGATGTCACTCTCCGTACGATAGCAGAGCAAGCTTTTCTCTTTTTTTTACTTCTAATTGCTCTTTTTTTTTATTTGAAGTATAGTTGATTTACAATACTGTGTTAGTCTCAGGTGTACAGCATACTGACTCAGTATTCAGAAAATATGACTGAAATCCAAACTCAGTACAATGACTGACAAAGAAAGACTTTATTTCTACTCCACCATCATTATAATCAACACTCCCCCTGTAGCCATGTAAGTGGGCGCTTTATCAGTTTCTAGAAACCCCATGGTCTTTCTCAGTTTCCAGCCTTCACGTACGCTGCTCTTTCTTCCTACTCACACTCTGGATATAAACCTTTTAACTCTGAACCAACCATTTTGAATCAATTTAAAAGTCCCTTCTTCAGTGACTGGATTCCAATCCTCTTACACTCTCCCTCAACTTCATGTATTTTCTCGATTGCAATGCTCATCATATTATAATTATTTGATGTCTGATGGTCCTAGTAAGGGGTCCTCTGTCAGAGCAGAAACTATCTTTTCGTGAGACTGACCCCTGATCCTGAGAAAAATGCCATTATACAGCAGGTGCTAAATATGAATGAACACATAAATAGATGATTGATGGGGACTGGTTTTACTCTAGGTTCACTGAATTGAGAAGCCCAGATTCTGCTGCAGTTTGATGGAGAGACTTGAATCAGAAGTACTCAATCAGAACATCTCTATTACAAACCTTTGGCCCTGTAAAGGTTTTGTCCATATGATAGCAGAAAAAAATATTTAAAGTAGAGGCTCGATGAGAACCAGGGTTGCAAACAGGATGGAGAGGACACCTGCCTCAGCCCTCACGTGAGACCAGCTATGTCCAGCTGCCGGTTTCTCGGGAGGAGAGTGGGCAGGACGCCCGGCAGCAAATAAAACAGAGAAGAGGACAGTCAGTGTCTCACTCCAGAGCACATCAACGAAAACTAGTCCATTGGACAGATTCCCTCCTCCATTTTCTGACTTGTACACAAAAGTGAGTTCAAACTCCACTTGGCTTCTTTTTTTATACTTTCTGTCTCTTCTCGGAGTTTATTCTTATCCACTTTCTTCACTGACCAAATTTCCTTGGGGGACAACTACCACACAGAAAGGAGGTCCAGCGTTATGTGTGCAGGGACAATCCATGCCCTTCATTCCTCTTTCAAATGCCTCTGATTTCACTCCTTGGCTCCCTCCGAATTCCACTTGCCTAACATCAAACTCTTCTATACGAGATGTGCTTTCTCTTTCTCTCTCCTTCTTTTTTAAGCCCCAACTAGCTTTTGAACGCTTTTTAAAAGAAAACATTACTTTGATTCTCTACAGTTCAAGGTTTGCAGATCAATAACCCCACTGGGTGAATCTTAAATGGATCACACTGAGGTAATGCCGAAGGAGAAAGTAAAAGCTGGGGGCAGCGGAGGAAGGTGGTTGAGTGACCACAATATTATAAACATTTTTATTAACTTACAAATGGAATGTACTAAAATGAAAAAAAAATCAATAGGTGAGTGAAGGGATTTACTATTAAAGTTGTGGAGTTGACCAAGGCAAAGAAAGTCTCTCCAGGTGTGAGAATTCAAAGTCAGGGTAGCCTTCACCGTTTCACGATGAGAATGGGAGGCTAGGAATCTCAGGGACAACTTGACCAGCATCTAACTCATGAACAGATAAGGACACTTAGCCAGCCTTGCCCCTGAAGAAGAAAATCATATACATCTCTGTTCTGACCAAATATGCACTGGTCTTCCTCTTCTTCCACTAACCCTAAGGATCTAAATATAATTAAATGCATTTGTGTTTTCTCGTTCCCATATGTAGGAGAATAGTGGGTAGAAGAAAAAAGACAAATTGTCTTAATAACATCTTGTACAAAGAAATACAGCTTATAAAATAAGGTAGCAATTAACAGAAGAGGTAAAAGTCATCCAAAGGAAATTGGACACTACCTGAGAGACTCTAGTGGCCTCCTCTAGGAATTTTTTCATCTCATCCTCAGAGAATACCACATTCATGGCAGACCCACTGGGTAAGGAAGAGGGAAAAAAAGAGGTCAGTTTCTTTTACCACGTTAGAAGCAAAGCATGCTAGATATTATTGTTTCTCAGAAGAATTCCAGGCAACCTCTAGTTCCAGTCCGGGCTAAGAAAGGAGGTGTCTTTTTCTAAACTGAGACTTTATGTAATCAATGGGATAATCAACCAAAGTAAAAAAAAAATAATCCCCCAAGATGGGGATGAGGAAGGTATGAGACCTGTGACAATGCCTAAGAAGAATCATGGTAGCTCTTAGAGATGGCACGTCCCCAAGATTCACCCTTTCTGATTTACTATTTTAACTCTCTACTGGTTCCAGGTAACACTCCAGCCTTAAAAGGATTTATTCTAGAACCTAGTTTCTCTAAACTTATTTCTTCAGTGATTATTACCAATAGCTGATCTTAACCCACAGGTGCACTGTCAAAGCAGGTCATTCTATTACCTCAGCTGGGTTACAAAAGAATCATTTTTTTTAGAAATACTTGTGAATATAATGTACAGTATCTGACTGAAGTGTATTCAGTTATGTCCCTTCAAATTCTTGAGAAAGAATGTTATCTGAAATCAATTTACTCTGAATCTTGGCATTTTCAGAATGGGATGGATGGGGAGAAAAGAAGGAAGAGAAGAAATAAAGAAAAATATTACTTTCCACTTCCTTTTAAAAAGTAGCATTTTCTTTTTTTTTTCTACTCTATTACAAATTTTCTGCATAAGGAGCTTTCAATTTCTTCCTTTATTTAAGACAGGAAGGCTACAACAATAATAACGTTGATAATTCACATTACAGGAAACTAAAACAAAGACATGGACTGCAGTCATGAGAGGAAGCATGGTAGTCAGAGCTACTTTCTGCGACTCTCCCTTAAATGTCTGTATGCTGTTTAACTTAACTTACATTAACACCTCAAAGAAGTATTATTAGACTGTGGTTTACACAAAATGTCATTTAAATAAAAAGGAAAGTTTTCCACCTCATTTGAAATTTTTCATTATTTTAAAGGATCCTATCTCAAATTCCATTTACACTTTCAAATTGTGCACAGCAAATGATGTTTCTCTCATTATCCCCTGTTCAGTGAAGTAGTTCCTTACATGTGGTAACATCTGAAGAGACTAGGTGACAAGTCACAAGTTCTCCTTTGATAACAGAACTTAGTTTCAAAGTTTATTACAAAAGAACCTCACTGTCCATGTCCTTCAACATCACAATTCTTTTATTAAAAAATCTGATTTCAAAAACTTAAACACTAAAACCAGAGGCACCATCAGAAGGTGCTAACAACAGTCGAAGATAAGCTGTCATTTCTGGGTATTAGAAAACGGATGGTGGCAAAAGATATTCCAAATTTGTTTTGTTTTCGCTGTTTTTGTTTTTCAGATGGTCCTTTTCTCCAATGTAAAACTACCCTCCCTCCGTTTGGCAAGGAAATACTCTAACCCCTGCTTCTAAGATGCAGGATGGATTGTAGACGCTTTGTACTGTTACTCCCTGAAGGAAAAGCATTAAGCTGAAGAACTGTACACAGGTCCTCAGTCTGGCTGTGTTGGTGTGGGGATTGTTGATGGATTTACAAATTACTGCACAACAAAGCCTCATGCCATTAGCATACAGAATGCAGTTCTATATCTCTGGATTTTTAAATCATTGTTTTAGAAAACAATATATTACCTCAAAACATAAGAAGGTCTCAACAAGCAAGGGTAGCCCACAGACTTCGCAAATTCCAATGCCTCATTCTAATTAACAGAAACAACAAAAAAGTATGAGTAGTTTTAAAATATTCAATAAAAATGCAGAATGGTACTGTTAGAACAAGTAGTAAACCAACTCCTTTTATTCTTCCTCTCAAAAGACACCATTAAAATGTAAATTGGACATCGAAATACATAAAATTTCTAGTTTCTAATTCTAAATATCAAATCTAGTTCAAAAATAGTTTGAACTTCTTTTCATTGTCTGAATCTTAATGAGAATACTCCTATCAATTTATAACCGGCATTTAACTGCAATCATGGAAATATAGCGACTTTAAAGTATATTCACCAAGCATAGTGCATTCTATCTGCCCTGTAGTTAACATCTGCAGTAGTTAACATTCAGGTTATGGCTCTTCAAAAGGGAACATTAAAAACAGACAGGTGTTTCTCTCCTTACCAAAGTGTTAACGGCTTTCCATGGTGCCTGAGCCACTTTCAGCTCATCCAAGACAGCTGAGAAGATGGAGCGATCCTCAGCCCTGTCGATCTGCAGAGGGCTCGTGCCCATGATCTTGACACCGTTCTTGTAGAGGGGGACGGCCAGGTTGTTTGGAATCTGGCCCCCAACGGATATGATGCAACCACCACAGGCCTGAAAAATATGTCCTCAATATCAGCCACTGGATGATGTACAACTGTGCTAATGCTGCCTCCATCTCCTTCCTGAAAATGCTGAACGTGATGGTGACATTTCCATCACTCCCATCAGTGGGTAATATTAAGTTATGCCACAGAGATAAACAGCAAGTTCTGACTGTCCAGGCACTTACCTGCTAAAGTCTTTGTAAGACTCCCATACGACTATACATGATTACCATGTACGATTTCCATACAACTGAACATAAATGTGTGGCATCTGCATGTGTGGCAATTAGAAAAAGAAAATCAAGCCAATGAATATTTCCATCCTGCACTTTACATAATAACCAATTCTTGAACTACTGTTGTAATTTCCGAAATGGATGCAGATCTCTCCTTGTCATATTCACCTCTCCTGCTCCTTTCCACCCCCGGACTTCACATTCAGACCAATCACCTGTAAGATCGCTTCACCAAGTTACTCCTATACTCAGAGTTCTCCAGAGGTTGCCTTTGCCTGAAGGATAAAGTGTTAACTCAGTACCACCAGGGCCACTAAGACTTTCAGATCTTATCCATGATGACTCTACTCAGCCCCAGGACACTACCTACTCACTGTTCCCACTTATATGCATTCCCACCAGCAAGCTTTCTCATCACTCAGCCTCTCCCTGCCTTTTCCTTTCTCCTTTCTCCTTTCACTTATCTAAACTCTAACTATCCCTAAAGTCCCGTTTAAATCCTACCTCTCATTTTGGCATTCTCTCTCCTTCATTGCTGCCTTGGCAGTTGTCTTCAATACCCATCACTGATTTTAG